GCAGTGAAGCACACGTAGATGCTATCTACAGTCAGACTTGCTGCCTACTGTGCACCTCTAACAGGTGTGAAAATAGCATACCTGGCAGTGAAGCACACGTAGATGCTATCTACAGTCAGACTTGCTGCCTACTGTGCACCTCTAACAGGTGTGAAAATAGCATACCTGGCAGTGAAGCACACGTAGATGCTATCTACAGTCAGACTTGCTGCCTACTGTGCACCTCTAACAGGTGTGAAAATAGCATACCTGGCAGTGAAGCACACGTAGATGCTATCTACAGTCAGACTTGCTGCCTACTGTGCACCTCTAACAGGTGTGAAAATAGCATACCTGGCAGTGAAGCACACGTAGATGCTATCTACAGTCAGACTTGCTGCCTACTGTGCACCTCTAACAGGTGTGAAAATAGCATACCTGGCAGTGAAGCACACGTAGATGCTATCTACAGTCAGACTTGCTGCCTACTGTGCACCTCTAACAGGTGTGAAAATAGCATACCTGGCAGTGAAGCACACGTAGATGCTATCTACAGTCAGACTTGCTGCCTACTGTGCACCTCTAACAGGTGTGAAAATAGCATACCTGGCAGTGAAGCACACGTAGATGCTATCTACAGTCAGACTTGCTGCCTACTGTGCACCTCTAACAGGTGTGAAAATAGCATACCTGGCAGTGAAGCACACGTAGATGCTATCTACAGTCAGACTTGCTGCCTACTGTGCACCTCTAACAGGTGTGAAAATAGCATACCTGGCAGTGAAGCACACGTAGATGCTATCTACAGTCAGACTTGCTGCCTACTGTGCACCTCTAACAGGTGTGAAAATAGCATACCTGGCAGTGAAGCACACGTAGATGCTATCTACAGTCAGACTTGCTGCCTACTGTGCACCTCTAACAGGTGTGAAAATAGCATACCTGGCAGTGAAGCACACGTAGATGCTATCTACAGTCAGACTTGCTGCCTACTGTGCACCTCTAACAGGTGTGAAAATAGCATACCTGGCAGTGAAGCACACGTAGATGCTATCTACAGTCAGACTTGCTGCCTACTGTGCACCTCTAACAGGTGTGAAAATAGCATACCTGGCAGTGAAGCACACGTAGATGCTATCTACAGTCAGACTTGCTGCCTACTGTGCACCTCTAACAGGTGTGAAAATAGCATACCTGGCAGTGAAGCACACGTAGATGCTATCTACAGTCAGACTTGCTGCCTACTGTGCACCTCTAACAGGTGTGAAAATAGCATACCTGGCAGTGAAGCACACGTAGATGCTATCTACAGTCAGACTTGCTGCCTACTGTGCACCTCTAACAGGTGTGAAAATAGCATACCTGGCAGTGAAGCACACGTAGATGCTATCTACAGTCAGACTTGCTGCCTACTGTGCACCTCTAACAGGTGTGAAAATAGCATACCTGGCAGTGAAGCACACGTAGATGCTATCTACAGTCAGACTTGCTGCCTACTGTGCACCTCTAACAGGTGTGAAAATAGCATACCTGGCAGTGAAGCACACGTAGATGCTATCTACAGTCAGACTTGCTGCCTACTGTGCACCTCTAACAGGTGTGAAAATAGCATACCTGGCAGTGAAGCACACGTAGATGCTATCTACAGTCAGACTTGCTGCCTACTGTGCACCTCTAACAGGTGTGAAAATAGCATACCTGGCAGTGAAGCACACGTAGATGCTATCTACAGTCAGACTTGCTGCCTACTGTGCACCTCTAACAGGTGTGAAAATAGCATACCTGGCAGTGAAGCACACGTAGATGCTATCTACAGTCAGACTTGCTGCCTACTGTGCACCTCTAACAGGTGTGAAAATAGCATACCTGGCAGTGAAGCACACGTAGATGCTATCTACAGTCAGACTTGCTGCCTACTGTGCACCTCTAACAGGTGTGAAAATAGCATACCTGGCAGTGAAGCACACGTAGATGCTATCTACAGTCAGACTTGCTGCCTACTGTGCACCTCTAACAGGTGTGAAAATAGCATACCTGGCAGTGAAGCACACGTAGATGCTATCTACAGTCAGACTTGCTGCCTACTGTGCACCTCTAACAGGTGTGAAAATAGCATACCTGGCAGTGAAGCACACGTAGATGCTATCTACAGTCAGACTTGCTGCCTACTGTGCACCTCTAACAGGTGTGAAAATAGCATACCTGGCAGTGAAGCACACGTAGATGCTATCTACAGTCAGACTTGCTGCCTACTGTGCACCTCTAACAGGTGTGAAAATAGCATACCTGGCAGTGAAGCACACGTAGATGCTATCTACAGTCAGACTTGCTGCCTACTGTGCACCTCTAACAGGTGTGAAAATAGCATACCTGGCAGTGAAGCACACGTAGATGCTATCTACAGTCAGACTTGCTGCCTACTGTGCACCTCTAACAGGTGTGAAAATAGCATACCTGGCAGTGAAGCACACGTAGATGCTATCTACAGTCAGACTTGCTGCCTACTGTGCACCTCTAACAGGTGTGAAAATAGCATACCTGGCAGTGAAGCACACGTAGATGCTATCTACAGTCAGACTTGCTGCCTACTGTGCACCTCTAACAGGTGTGAAAATAGCATACCTGGCAGTGAAGCACACGTAGATGCTATCTACAGTCAGACTTGCTGCCTACTGTGCACCTCTAACAGGTGTGAAAATAGCATACCTGGCAGTGAAGCACACGTAGATGCTATCTACAGTCAGACTTGCTGCCTACTGTGCACCTCTAACAGGTGTGAAAATAGCATACCTGGCAGTGAAGCACACGTAGATGCTATCTACAGTCAGACTTGCTGCCTACTGTGCACCTCTAACAGGTGTGAAAATAGCATACCTGGCAGTGAAGCACACGTAGATGCTATCTACAGTCAGACTTGCTGCCTACTGTGCACCTCTAACAGGTGTGAAAATAGCATACCTGGCAGTGAAGCACACGTAGATGCTATCTACAGTCAGACTTGCTGCCTACTGTGCACCTCTAACAGGTGTGAAAATAGCATACCTGGCAGTGAAGCACACGTAGATGCTATCTACAGTCAGACTTGCTGCCTACTGTGCACCTCTAACAGGTGTGAAAATAGCATACCTGGCAGTGAAGCACACGTAGATGCTATCTACAGTCAGACTTGCTGCCTACTGTGCACCTCTAACAGGTGTGAAAATAGCATACCTGGCAGTGAAGCACACGTAGATGCTATCTACAGTCAGACTTGCTGCCTACTGTGCACCTCTAACAGGTGTGAAAATAGCATACCTGGCAGTGAAGCACACGTAGATGCTATCTACAGTCAGACTTGCTGCCTACTGTGCACCTCTAACAGGTGTGAAAATAGCATACCTGGCAGTGAAGCACACGTAGATGCTATCTACAGTCAGACTTGCTGCCTACTGTGCACCTCTAACAGGTGTGAAAATAGCATACCTGGCAGTGAAGCACACGTAGATGCTATCTACAGTCAGACTTGCTGCCTACTGTGCACCTCTAACAGGTGTGAAAATAGCATACCTGGCAGTGAAGCACACGTAGATGCTATCTACAGTCAGACTTGCTGCCTACTGTGCACCTCTAACAGGTGTGAAAATAGCATACCTGGCAGTGAAGCACACGTAGATGCTATCTACAGTCAGACTTGCTGCCTACTGTGCACCTCTAACAGGTGTGAAAATAGCATACCTGGCAGTGAAGCACACGTAGATGCTATCTACAGTCAGACTTGCTGCCTACTGTGCACCTCTAACAGGTGTGAAAATAGCATACCTGGCAGTGAAGCACACGTAGATGCTATCTACAGTCAGACTTGCTGCCTACTGTGCACCTCTAACAGGTGTGAAAATAGCATACCTGGCAGTGAAGCACACGTAGATGCTATCTACAGTCAGACTTGCTGCCTACTGTGCACCTCTAACAGGTGTGAAAATAGCATACCTGGCAGTGAAGCACACGTAGATGCTATCTACAGTCAGACTTGCTGCCTACTGTGCACCTCTAACAGGTGTGAAAATAGCATACCTGGCAGTGAAGCACACGTAGATGCTATCTACAGTCAGACTTGCTGCCTACTGTGCACCTCTAACAGGTGTGAAAATAGCATACCTGGCAGTGAAGCACACGTAGATGCTATCTACAGTCAGACTTGCTGCCTACTGTGCACCTCTAACAGGTGTGAAAATAGCATACCTGGCAGTGAAGCACACGTAGATGCTATCTACAGTCAGACTTGCTGCCTACTGTGCACCTCTAACAGGTGTGAAAATAGCATACCTGGCAGTGAAGCACACGTAGATGCTATCTACAGTCAGACTTGCTGCCTACTGTGCACCTCTAACAGGTGTGAAAATAGCATACCTGGCAGTGAAGCACACGTAGATGCTATCTACAGTCAGACTTGCTGCCTACTGTGCACCTCTAACAGGTGTGAAAATAGCATACCTGGCAGTGAAGCACACGTAGATGCTATCTACAGTCAGACTTGCTGCCTACTGTGCACCTCTAACAGGTGTGAAAATAGCATACCTGGCAGTGAAGCACACGTAGATGCTATCTACAGTCAGACTTGCTGCCTACTGTGCACCTCTAACAGGTGTGAAAATAGCATACCTGGCAGTGAAGCACACGTAGATGCTATCTACAGTCAGACTTGCTGCCTACTGTGCACCTCTAACAGGTGTGAAAATAGCATACCTGGCAGTGAAGCACACGTAGATGCTATCTACAGTCAGACTTGCTGCCTACTGTGCACCTCTAACAGGTGTGAAAATAGCATACCTGGCAGTGAAGCACACGTAGATGCTATCTACAGTCAGACTTGCTGCCTACTGTGCACCTCTAACAGGTGTGAAAATAGCATACCTGGCAGTGAAGCACACGTAGATGCTATCTACAGTCAGACTTGCTGCCTACTGTGCACCTCTAACAGGTGTGAAAATAGCATACCTGGCAGTGAAGCACACGTAGATGCTATCTACAGTCAGACTTGCTGCCTACTGTGCACCTCTAACAGGTGTGAAAATAGCATACCTGGCAGTGAAGCACACGTAGATGCTATCTACCACAGGTGCGCAGGGGGGCAGCAGGTATGGCTGTGACACACTTGTGACTGCAACAGGCGTGACTGCAACAGGCGTGACTATAACAGAAAGGGCACGTCGTTTCATCTTCCTAACCCATGGTTGACGTGCACAGGGGCAGCAGGTGTGATTGTAACACGCGTGTGTTTAGAACAGGTTTGAATACACTACCGTACCTGGTACAGGTGCACGTGGGTACAGGTGTGCTTGTATGTAACATGCGCGATTACAGCATACATGGCAGTGAAAGGTACGGAAATGCCATCCATCCCGTGGTACAGGTGCATGGGGGCAGCAGGGGGGGGGGGGAGGTGTGACTGTAACAAGCGTGACCATGGCCGGTGTGATTATAACGCACCTGGCAGTGAACGGAACAGATATGTCATCTACCCCGTGATACAGGTGTACAGGTGGGAGCAGGGGAGCGGCTGCCTTGAATGTGGGGCGGGAAATGAGGAGCTCAGGGGAAAAGAGAGGTAGCGACTCCTCGCCCTCGAATATGCTGCGGTTTGGAGGGGTTGGGGAGAAGTGAGAGGGTGTGGGAAGTGGTGAGAAGTGGAGAGAGGTTAAGGGGGGGTGTCGGGCCGAGAGAACAAGGCAGGCTTGGAGAAGAGGACGGCGAAGGAGATGAGAAGGACAAGCGGAAGAGAAAGTGGAAGGGGACTGGGGAGAGGAAGGGAAAGGGGAATGGCGAGGGGAATGGAAGGACAAGAAATTGGCCGAGAAACAACTAGGCTTATTTAAAAACCGGTCAGTGATGACGGGTTTTGACACACGTGAGAGGCTATTGGTGACTCACGAGAGGAAGAGGTAGGGGTTCATGCCCCTGGACTCGAATTGGGGTGCCAGGTTGATTAGATTGTAGCTGGGGGGGAGGGAGAGAGAGGGGGAAAAGGGGGGGCGAAGTTTGGGGGGGAGGGAGAGAGGGGGGAAAGGGAAGGCGAGGCACAGAGAGTGACAGTTGACTCGACTAAAAGAGGTAGGGTTCATGCCCCTGGACGCAAATTGTAGCGAGGGTGTTTTTGAGACGTCTCAAAGAGTCGGCTCAGAGAGAGAGGTAGGGTTCATGCCCCTGGACGCAAATTGTAGCGAGGGTGTTTTTGAGACGTCTCAAAGAGTCGGCTCAGAGAGAGAGGTAGGCGTTCATGCCCTGGACTCGAATTGCGGTGCCAGGCTGATCAGTTTGTAGCTGCGGGGTTTGGGGCTGGGAAGGGGGAGTGAAGAGGTGCAGAGGGGCGGAGGAGACATAGGCAGGAGTGGGCGGAGCAGAGGCAGGGGGTGGGCGAGTGGAACATGCTTGGTCGCCCACCCCCAAGCAGCGGGTGGGCAGACGAATTCGAGGGATCAGTTTGGTCGTTTCCTTTTGTTTGTTTGCTTGTTTGATTTCTTAGATTAAAACTTTCACAAAGGATTCTCAGAGAAAAGCACATGCCACCGTGCACACGCACGCACGCACCAAGCACAGAAGCAGCGCCCACATTTCATGCCATCCCTCCTGCTCCAACGCCCCCTTCCTCACCACCACCTCAACCCTTCCTCCTCCCCCTCTCTCCACCCTTCCCCCTCCTTCCCGCAATCCCTCCCCTATTTCCAGCTCACCATCCCGAGACGCCAATGAACGATTTCATCTGCTCGCTCCTCTCCTCCGCACACCAATCCCACTACACCTCACCCCATCCCACATCACCCCTTCCCACCGCACCCCATCCCAGCTCACCATCCCGAGACGCCAATGAACGATTTGATCTGCTCGATGCCCCACACGTCGAGCACGCCCCTCCCCGGCTCGTTCCCCTCCGCCTTCCCCCCCTCGCCCCCCTCCCACCCCCTTTTTCCAGCTCACCATCCCGAGACGCCGATGAAAGATTTGATCTGCTCGCTGCTCCACACGTCGAGGATGCCCCTCCCCGGCTCGTTCCCCTCCGCCCCGCCGCTCCCCGCCAGATGCGCCAGCAGCCTCCGCATCGACAGCGAGCGGAACAGCGGCGTCCCCGCGCGCAGCGCTTCCGCCGCCGCCTCTATCTCCGCGCGCAGCCCCGCGGCTGGCGCTGCTTGCGCGTCCGCGGGGAAACCGGCGGAAGCGACGGGCGGAAAGACAGCAGCAGCGGGGAGGGGAGAGGGAGACGCGGGGAGACCAGAGGCGGTGCACGTGGCCAGAACGGGGAGGGCGGCAGGGACGCTATTTCCAGAATCGGGGAAACTTGTAACGGGGACGTCGGAAATCGTGACAGCGGCAGAGGCGGAAGCGGCAGCAGCGTTGATCCTCCAGGCGTCGACAGGATGAACCTTCGCGGAAGCAGCAGCAGCAGCAGGTGCGAAGGGAGCAAGGGAGGATACGGACGGATAACGAATCTCCGTCTTTCCTGCAGCTGTTTCTGCTACACTAACAACTACCCCTGAACACGAGCTTTCGCCTTCCATCGCCAACTGCTGCTGCTTTTGCTCCTGTTGTTGATGTTGCTGTTGTTGTTGCGGCTGCTGCAAGTTGCTACCGAAAGGCGACAGATTATGCTGCTGCTCCGGCGGCGGCGCTTCCGACGCGCGCATCAAAGCCTGTCTTATAATCGCCACGGACGACAAGTGCGCTCCGGCCGACTGCCCCGCGAGGTGCACGCGGCTCGGATCGCCGCCGTAGCGGTGGATATTTTGCAGCACCCAGCCGATGCCACGTGTCACGTCGTCGAGCATGCCGCTAACGGTGGCCTGCGGAAAGTTCCTGTAGTCTATACTCGCTACAATCACGCCGCGTTCCTCTAACGCCTGTGCTAATAACGTGCCCCACGCCTTGTATCCTATAATCCACGCGCCTCCGGTTATGAAAATAACGACGGGACGAGGGTGCGGGGAGGGGCTTGCGGGGACGAATATATCCAGGCTGGAAGGGGGAAGGGGGAGGGGGACGGGGGAGAGGGAGAGGGAGGGGAGTTGGGAAGAAAAAGGGGAAACGGAAAAAGGACGAATCATTAGAGGCAAGCGGCGCCTTAGACACGGGACGAGCAGAAACGAGAGAGGAAGAAGAGGGGAGAAGGGGGATGCGAGGGGAGGGAGAGAAGGGGGAAGAGAGGGGTGGGGGAGAAGGGGGAAGAGAAGGGAGGGGGAGAAGGGGGAAGAGGGGGGGGGGAGAAGGGAAGATGGGATGGGGAAGGGGAGTGAAAGAGCAGAACACGCACCTGTTGCGCGGCAGTCTGCCGTAGGGTATGCTGCGACGGACGTTGGGGGAGAAGAAATAGTACCACATGACTGGGGGGGGGGGAGGGGGGAAAGGTAGGGGAGGGGAGGGGAAGCGGGAACGAGGCTGAGGGTTGGGGGAGAAAAAATAGTACCAATTAACTGGTGGGGGGGAAGGGAGGGGAGAAACAGGAGTATTTGGATGGAGCGGGAGGGAGAACGACGTAAATCAAGGAGCATCTGAATCACGAAACACCTGGAGTAAGGACCACGTGGCCAGTTGCAGGAAGCCGGGCAGGAGCAGTAAGGAGTAGCTTTCGACTCAGGAATTACCCGGTTACCGAAAAGGAGTTTTAGCCAGGGTTCCGCATGCCGTGTTACCTGGTTTGCCTGATCGGTTACCGGGTTACCCGGTTCCGCATGACGCTGTGAGGGTTACCTTGCAGGAAGCCGGGCATGAGCAGGAGCGAATAGGTCATGAGGAGAAAGAACTTGGACATCCAGTTGAGCCCGAGCCTGCGGGGGCAGAGGGAGAGAGAGAAAGATGCAGTGTGGGAAGAAATAAAGGCGTGGAGCACGGAGCACGGAGCACGGAAAGGGGAATAGGTCATGAGGAGAAAGAACTTGGACATCCAGTTGAGACCGAGATTGCGGGGGAGCGGGAGAGGCGGAGAGAGGGGTGTGGGAGGGTAACGCGGGGAGCATGGAAAAGGGTAAGGCATGAAGTCATAGGAACCTGGATATCCCAGTTGAAACCGAGATGGTCGGGAAGCGGGGTAACGCGCGTAGGAGGAGGACAACGAGACGGGCAAAGCAACGGCGAGAAAATCGTCAGTGCGGCGTTTTGAAATGTCTAGACAAAATCAGAGCAAACGGTGCGAAATGTCCCGATTTTTTTGCGAAATCGCAGGGAGTTGCGAGTGAGTAAGTTGGTAAGCCTAAGTAACGCGACACTAGTAGCGCACCCGAGGAACTGCAGGAGCTGCACTGTGAGGCTGGTCAGCTGAAAAGTTTCAGCGGCTGCCCGTCGCACGCTCCGGCCAATGATGATAGCGGCACGCGTGGAACATCTGGGCGCGGCGTCGCTCGACGGCGAGCGGTCAATCGTGGAAATACTCCGTCTGCGCGGCAGACAGCACGCCGCGGCCGCCGCGGCTGTGACTGCTGACGACGTGCAGACGGAGGTGCTGATGGATGTCGGCCCATCCGGAGCGCCTAGTAGTCTCTCGATGGGGTGCGACTCGAACATCGGCCGCGCGAGCTTCGCGCACGCGGCGCGATTGAAGGCCGCGAGCGAGGAAGGGAACGACGCGAGGGACCGTGAAAGGCGGGCTAATGACGACGACGATGAGGAGGCAGGTGATTGCGACGCGAGCGTTAATTCGGAGAAATTGAAGAATAGGTTGGTCTGTTTTGATCGCCGTCCTGAGCAGCAGTTAGAAATGTATTTACGAGTGGCTCGCACTAGCCGTTGAGTGTGCAACGTCGCTACGTTCAACCTATTTCCGGGAACCGCGTGAGCTGACATCCACAGCTAATGGCGCCTGCAATGCTGTGCGACTAAATATCAAAGAGTAGCTGGTCTCTAGCTACAAAAAGACCAGAGATGTCGGATAAGATCGATAAACTGTGAGGGAGCGAGAGGCGATAAGAGTAGGAAGCTGGAGGCGCTTCCTGTGGCTGGAAGAAGACCTTGGCTTGGGAAGACCTCGAGGTGCTAGGCATGTGTGGCAGCGGGCGAGCGGGGAGGGAGGAAGGCATGGGTAATGCGTGTGGTCGAATATCCACCTGTTAGCTGGGTGTGGAAAGGTGAAGTAAGTTGAGGCTGGTTAAAGTTGGGTGGAGTACGGTGAAAGAACATCACACCACATGTAACGTACAGGGAGGGGGCACTGACAACGAACTGCGCGTGCGCGTACACGGTTGGAGCTGACGGGAAGGGAATATCGTGACTGCGCCCGGGCGCGGCGCACGTAAGTGCGCACGGAGGGATGTATGCGCGCATATCGAATGAATGGAAGAGGCTCCGCGGAGATTTTAGGGGTGCGGAGCTTGCAGGGAGTGTGTGCGGAAGTCCTCTAGGGCTAGAGCGGAAACAGAAAAGTCGTTCAGGGGAAGTCCAGCCGGGAGGCTTTGCGGGGAGTGGTGACACCATGGAAGTTCACGCGCTTCGGTGCTGCGCTGCAGGTATCAGCGTGGATAATTCCGATTGGCGAACGAGGTTAAGGATGTTACCAAACTAGTCTCAGCCTATGCTGGACGACCTGCAAAGTCCATTATTAATTCGCTGAAGCATTCTGACCGAACACTGCGACGCCTTCGTGCGACTTCGGGATGGCGAGGGCGGTGTGGCCTACACCATAGCGCGGTGCGAGGTGGCTCAATTCGAGGGATGGATCATCTTAGGCGCAAGCCACGTGGATAGCTCGTTACAGAGTGATTAAGTGATCCGCTTCTTGTAGTTCTACATCCTGTTTGTGCTCTACACGCTGAAGGCTACAATTTCTATCTTGACATTTCTCCCCTCAGTTGGGAAACCCTCCTTGAACCCTTGCCTTCAGTGGGTATAGATATGTCGACAAAGTTGTCCTCCGGCATATGCACCCAAGCTCTGCTGGTTTTCGTTCCTCCGATATCACTTCAGCCCTGGCCACTGCTGCTGTCTCGCTCAGCTTATTCTCTTCATTCATCTTCTCATCTCTTGCTTTCCAAACTTTTCTTCCCCAACTTCAGCTCTCTCCCATTCTCCCACCTCTTGCTACTGCATTCAGTCTAGTTCAATCAGTTGTTTTCTTTCGCCTTTCGTTCTGGATTGGTCGTTTGAAGTTCGATGTCGCAGTAAGACAAAGGAAACACGCATCTATACTTTCAGATCTCGGCAGTGGCCAAACTGTTTCCACAGCTTTCTACCTTCTCTCTTGATGCCGCCTTCGATGCGCTAATTTGTGAACTGACGAATATCTCGCTCAAGATCTCCCTTATGATTAAAACTTTTCCTCGACGGGGTTGCTGATGCATCCATCGTGGGGATTTTTACGCAGAAATTTGGAATGAAGGGAGATCGCGTCCTTTCTTTTGTCACGTCATGGGCTTACTTAGGTGTGATGTTTCGTATCCGCGCATTGTCACAATTCCGCATGTCTTCAAAGCTAGATAGTTCCCGGCATTGTATTCAAGTCCAAGGAGCACCATCTGAATGTCGACGGTCCAGAAATCCGCGCAATGTCACAATGCTCATACGATACTGTTGATAGGTCGTCCCAAACATGACTTTTTATTACATGGCACATCATCACAACATCATTTGTCTACATACCGCGCTTTTCTATTCTTCTTTTGCGCATTGCAATGCCAGCACTGTTGTGAACATATCAATCTTGGGAGCACAGAAGCCACAATTTACCGCAAACAAGTCCACTACCTAAAGCGTTCTAGTCAGTGTCAGCGGTCAAACTGATTTCAAGTGGAAAACAGCAAAGGGACCTGTGAGGTGTCATGACTAACCACTTCTCCACATGCACTCAACAAGCACTAGAAATTTTGATGGGAAGGATGAAGTTCTAGTGTTGGGGTTGAGGTGCTCTGCTGCAGGCAATAGAGAGATGCAAACAGGATAGACTTGGCCATTGCATTCATATCCATCCACAATATAGGCACCTCACCAAACAAATGCTCTAGAGATCTCTCCGAATGTGGAACACTTGAACACAAGAACCTGGTTACAACAAACCAAGTCAGAGCACCATCCACGCAAGAAAGGCACTGTTGCCCCACCGCATCACAGCCACCAGACCAGCAAACGCCACAAGTCCTTGAATCAGGTTCATTGGTTGAAGCTTCCAGATCTTGGCATGCTTTCCTTGAGCTGCTGCTGTTGCACTACTAGGCTCGCTTTGAAAGGTAATTCTCCCTGAATGGTGCAGCCAAACCGCAAGCATTGCATACACCCCCACCGCTAGCAGACGAACCACAAGGCTCTCCGCTGCTCCGGCAATCGCCGCCACTGCTGGAGCCACCACTGACAGCCAGTTAGGTCCGGCCAAAGCTTGAGGCTTGGTAGTGGCAGACGGCAAGGAGGAAGAGGTGGAGGAAGTTGTGGATGATGGAGCAGATGCAGCAGCAGCTTCTGCTGACGATGAAAGAATAGCACGAGCCGCAGAGAACCCAGTGAGGATGGTCAGGATAACCAGGAAAACCAGTGGCCGAACGACACCTGTCGCGAGACCAACAGCTGCCGATCCAGCAAGCCACAGCGGACCATTTAGCCTCTCCGGGTCGGAATCAAATCGCTGTGCTACAGTAACCACGGCGGTAACCAGAAGGGAGTTCAGGATAACCGGTCCCACGGGCATGACGTCAAACTGAGCGAGTGCCGCGAAATAGAGGAATTCGGCGCCAGATGCGATGAGAGAGAGGAGGATGGAGAGGGGAGTGAGGATGGGGTCGGGCAGGAGGAGGAGGAGGGAGTGTGCGAGGAAGACAAGGAAGACGGCGGTGGAGCCGCAGGCAGCGGTGAAGAGAGAGAGGATGAGAAGGGAGGAGCAGATGAGCTCAGATAGGAGCCAGCGACGGTTGAGGAAGAGAAGGAGCGCCACTGCAGAGGAAAGGGGAGGGAGAGGAAATGAAAGAAACAAAATGAGGGAAGGGAAAGAGGGAGCCGAAAAAGAAAGGGTTTGTGATGGGGACGAGGAGGGTAGCAGCTCGGTTAGCAGCAAGCAACGGCTGAGGGAGAGAAGGAGCGCCACTGAGCACACAGGAGTGGAAATGAGCGAAATGAGAGTAAGGGTAGGTTGTAGTGTGTGTGAGAAACGAAAGAAGGGAGGGAGAGTGTGTGAGAAGGAGACGGACCATTGCAGGGAATGGGATGAAACGAGTTATCTAGGCTCGAAGGATTGTGATGAAAGCGCGGAGAGTGGGGGAGTATGATCGTGTTAGGAAGGGGGGGATAAACCCGAAACCCAGTCACCACATTTTGTCAGGGCCCCTCCCTACCTGCGGCCATTGCCAGCACTCTGTTTCTCGTGGGACGAAATTCCTTCTGCCCGGGAACAAATTCCATCTGCCCGGGACGGTGCCGACTGGCCCTAGAAGTCGCTGCTGCTGCATCCGCATCCCCGATATAGACTGTTCCTACTGATTCTGTAGCAGACCCAGGTAAAACCTGTCCTGCTACGCCTGGTTTTGGAGCAACCTGGCCGGCATTCTCGGGGGAGCTGCTGCTATAAGCGCTACTGCCGCCGTCGGATGCGGCGGATGCAGCGGAAACGCCGAGTCGCCATTTCGAGCAGAGAGAAGGACGAGAAAGGAGTCGTTCTGGTGGATCGACGAACGAGGCCGGGGGATGGAAGAGATAAAAGAGAAAATGCGATCACTAAGGCAAAGGCGCCGCGGAGTGAGATCGAAAAATGGTCTGAATGATGAAAGAGTGAGGAGCTGGAGAGCCTACAGGGCTGGTTGGCTGAAGTGCATCGGTGATACAAACATGCGAAAGGAGGAAGCGTAATGCGTAATGGCAGCTTTCCCCGTCTCCCTCTACCCCAACAGGACCAAATTGCTCACCCGCAATTCGCGGGGTCGCAGTAGGCAGTATCCGTCTTCGCAGTCCTAGAAACGAGCAAGGTGAGAGAGCGGCGCGACTCGTCGATGCAACCTGCGAACGGATACTAACAGAGGCACTTGCGCGAACCGATGAAGCTGGCCCGACACCGGTGTTGCTGAGCTGAGCTGTTAGGCCCTCCATGATTGGCGGAGATGGCGGGGATTGAGGCAGAATAACGTGCCCTCCGGACACCTTTCACGTCGGCTGTGGTTGTGCGGAAGAAACCTCGGGTAGGGAAATGGGGCTTTGCAGAGTAGAAAGGGTTTCGATACAGCGAATGTTTTTGTGTCAGTGTACTAATCTTGTTACGATCAGAACCAACTTTGAACCGAATACTTGCTGCATCCCCTCATACTTGCTGAACAGCTTTCCAAACCGTAATGTCAGAAACTCAAATATTATTTCCAGCTCTTTACAAAGATATCTACAGCACAAAATGCAGGAAGGTCACCAGGGACTTCGTCCCCTAGCCACACCAGCATCACACACAAGATCCACACTCCATGAACGGAGCTCCTGGACAGGCCTTTAAAGACGGCCAGTCCACGGAAAATCATGGTGCACCCTGAGGAAAGGAACTCAGCAGAAAGACAGAACAAGCGAAATGGCGCTTTGTCCACCATCTGCACCCTCAGAAGATGATGGGAGAAGCAAGCGAATCTGGAACTTGGAACACAGTGTGAAGCAGCAGCGAGCAACGTGAAAGACTGTTGATGACGAGTTGTGAAGATGGTGAATCCCCGATTGCAGCGGAAGCAGAAACTTGGAAAAAACAACTCCATTGCTGATATAGCCGAGGGCGCAGGCAGCACATGTACAGCATGTACAATAGGGCTTTCAGCCCCAGGATTCACTGCCAAAAAAACCGCTCCAGTGTTTATTCCAAATCTTAAGATTCCAATGTCACTTCATGTTGTCCGCCTCGTCAGCTGCAAAACCATCTCCAGATGTGACGTTGCTCTAACGGTACTGCGACTTCGACTTGGGGTTGTACAGCCTGCAATTGCACAGGGCGAATGACATCAGAAATCTAGGAATCACTTAAAACATAGCTAACAATGGTGTCAGGAACGACATCAGACAAAATGGAAAAGGATGAGACAAATTCAGAGCGCAAAAACAGGGAGCCCGTAAGACATTACATTGGGGTCAGGGCTCTGGGCGCTCAGATCGTGAGCGGATTATACCAGTCGAACACGGACGGCTCCGACGAGCTAGCCTTGTCAAATCTGGTAGCACCAACGCGATCCATCCCAGCCTTGTTGCTTCCGGGGTGAAACACACTGCGCCAGACGTTCTCTCCCTTGCGGGACGCTGTAAGAATAAAAAACAAAATGACGCGTCAGCCAACTGCGATATAAGTAAGAAACCCGTGCGGAAAATCACAACAAGAAAAAATACACCAATTAAGAGAAATTCCAGCAGTGAAGAAGTTCATCGTACCAGGGGAAGGCAAGTTGGAAAGTCCAGTGTCGTAGTGAGCTGGCAGAGAGCGAGACGTGTCGAGTCGGCGAGCCGTCTTTGGCTGCTGTGGAGCAATGGAGATGCTCTTGGTGATTCTCGGCATTACTGTCCGACCATCAGATGCCATATCTGCGCTCTTACGCCGTTCGTCGAGATTCAGCGGTGGAATCCCTGCATCCAATGGAAAAAGCAATAACAGAAAAATTTAGAGAAATTGAGGGACAATTCAGCATAGCGAAAGCGGAGAAGCACGTCCTCCAAATGGAGATTTCAGCTCGCGTACCGTGATATGAGCCTTCATTTGGAGAAGCAAGCGGACTTCCCGCGCTGTCGTAACGTTCCAGCGAGCTTCTAGGAGAGGTCGAGATGCTCTTCTCCAAGGATGAAGGGAGCTGCGGGGAGCTCCCCATGACCTCACTCCAGACCTTCTCGATGAAACTCATTCTTGCAGTAGTGAAGACGAAGCTTGATTGGTGAAGATTGCTTGAAGAACAAACCCTCGCGAGACGGAAGAAGCCGCACGAGAGGTGATCCCTTCGACCGATGAGCAGGAAAGGAAGTTGGGGAGTTCGAGCACACGGCGAGCTGCAACCCAAATTCTTTCGCTTCAGACTCTTGGTCTCTGAGAATGCTTACCTCCATTCTACCAACGTTCTTATAGTAAATCGGTATGAGCGACGTAACGGAAAAGAGCACGGATGGAGAGTTGCGAGGGAGGTCCGCTGAGCGTCAGTTGTGCTGAAAGGGGAGGACATGCAAGGGGGATCGGGGAACGCGGAGGGGGAAAGCTTCTGGAATTTGCGCGGAGGGTCCATAGGGATTAGGCTTGTCACGATGGTAATAACCCGTTTGACAAATGGATTCAACGGTTCTTTCTCAGGTGTTTCAAGGTGGCCTCAACAGTGTCTAGTCGTATGGGACGAGAGTTGCGCAGGAATAACACATAAATCATGTCCTATCAAAGTCTTTTCGGGCAAAAGACATGGTGGTGGTCGGAAAAGCTGCTGGACGGAAGCAGGGGTTTCCCCCCTCAACTCGACAGCCGTTATGTCTTGAGATTTTGGCGGTGCGACATACACAAGGGAGGAAGGGCTTTCCCTATCCATGCGCGGAAACCGACGGACACGGGCGGGACAACATTTTGTTCGCGCATGCGTGGGGAAACTTGCTTTACACATGCAGAATGTGGTGGTGAAGCAAGACGAAAACAAGGCTGCAACAGGCAAGGCGTCCATCAAACCTAAGAGGTCGAAAACTCGAGATGTCCACGGGGACGTCCATTATTGGTGCATCTTGCAAAAGAGCCAGATGCACGGAGAAAGCGTGCGTGCAGAATGAGCTGGACTTATCCAATCAGCATGACTTTCGGAAATCGCTGACGCTGGAAATCAGCCAATGCGTCACTTCCCATGTGAGCTGACCTGGATCAAGGTTTCGCGGGGGAACAAGCATGACTTTCAGCGGAATTTGACACAATCTGGTTTGGCAACTCACGTGTTTCACGTGAGGGCTCTGTTATGAATGAACTTGTCAGAGTGCGCAGATATCGAATAACGAGAATGTTGAACTACAGAATGCCTGAACAATGAAGTAGCGAGGCCTAAATAGGGGAAAACCTAGCTAGGCGGGGATGGTGTGGTAGGGTTGGCTCGCGAAGTGTCGCGATTGGTGCGGAGGCGGCTCGGTGAGGTTGGGATGCGAAATTGTAGGCCGAACCAGTTGGTCGCGTGGCCCTCGGGATGGCCTCGCTATCGAGCGCCTCAGTAAGGATTTGTAAATCCTTACACTCTCCCACCTCCTAAATAAGGCAGCCCTGTACTGAAAAGGGTCACCCAGTAGCGAGGATGCCGTTGATCTTCACTTCAGCTGAATCCGACGGCTGAAATGCCCCAGACAATATTGTTGAAAAGGTTGGAATGTCGGCCGTTGATGTTGTCAGATTTCGATCTGACGGTCGAAGATGAAGTGGCCCAAATGTAATGAAAGTTGGATTGTGGGCCGTAGATGCAGTCAGATGTCGATCTGACGGATGAGGATGAGCTGGCCCAAAATGAAGTGGAAGTTGGAATGTGGGCCGTTGATCGAGCAGCAGCGAATCTGACGGTCGAGGCAGATGCGATTTTGGAGGGAACCTGCTGACGCGAATTCAAACGCGATTGAGTAGGGATCGTTGATCGTGAAGCAGCAATCGTAGTCGTTCGTCGTGCTGACGCAACCTGACAAAGTCAGAAAAGGACCAAGAAAACGCCAAGGAAAGAACAGTGCGAAGCACTTTCTCCCCCACTCCAAGAAAACACACCATAAAAGTTCCAGCAGCTGGGCCGAGAGGTCCTGGGCAGAGATGAAAAAATTACAGCTGTCTCTCCCCCCTTCCACTGTTGCTGCTGCCACCTCCAGTTCGTCGTAAGTCCTTCGTACCCCTTGAAAACTCCGTGTAGATCTCGCAGTGTTGCCCACACAAATGCGCGCGCGTTTAATCAAACGCCGAATACTCCTCCGATGTTGTCGCCGCTTCCCGCCGTAAAACCTGCAAGTCCCCGTTGAAATCTCCGAAAATGTCGTTGGAACATAACCCCGAAACTCCGCAGTTGCAGGTGCAGTTCGCCTCCGAAATCTTCGGTCGTGCTATAGCCGCCCACCCGGTCACCATCAGTTTCCGTCGGTTTACCCGACCCCAGCATGTGGGTTCAATCGAGAACCGGGGACTGCCCTGGGTCTTCCGAGACCGAATTTCACGGAACCTAGTGGCATCAACGCCTTTGACCCCGTCGTCGAAACTGCTCCAGTCGGTGTCGCTTAACTGAAAACCACGCAAACTCCCACTGGCGCTTTGCGATGTTTCACCTCATCGCTCGTCACCGGCAGGTAAATCCCGAAGCCTCGGCTGCTCCCACGCTCCCTGAAGAATTTCCCGCGGTGTACGTTTAAACACCCGTGGGTTCTAGGTATCAACCGCACTCTAAGAAACAAAGAAACGCCCTCAGCTTCAACTCCTTTTTTTTTTTTTTTGTAGAAAGATAACCCCGAAAATCGTGGTTGAGGCTGCAGTCCCGAAGTTATTCTCCGCCGTATAGCCCCGACGTTTCCGCCGTTTTTTCCCTGGTACTCCGATGTTCACCCATCTTCGTACCCGCCGGACTACTTAGCGAATCCCAGGTATCCTTGGCAATGTACCGCTCGCCGCGCCTCCATGTAACGATATCAAACCCTTTCGGGGGTCTACCGAATAGACTCCGAAATTCGCGGTAGATTGGTGCACGGGCTCAACCTATCACTCAAGTGATCTGCTGGATCACCCACAACTTTCCCTCCGTCGTCATATTTTTCGTATTCACCCCCCGACAATTCCGCTTCCCGCCGTTCACCCAGCGTCCGCTTTTGTCGGATGGGGTATCGTCGTTGTTGCCCACGCGAACTCGGCCACGGTGGAGAGGCAAAAACTATCGGAGTCGGGGCAGCCTTAGTTAAAAGGAAACTGTCGCCCAACCGTTTTGCAGCCCGCCGTGCCTATCACGCCACGAAAAATTCAACAGCTTCCCGGTCTCAGCTTCGCCGCTGCGCCGTCAATTCGTGTAGACGCCCGGGTCAGGAGAAACCTGTAGACTGCACCATTTCTTCACCGCAGCTCCCCGACTTTTTCGCGTGCCGTTCACCCAGCCCGCTTTTGTCGGAGTATAACAGTGCTGCGAGCTCCATTTTTTTTTTGTCCTTTTCTTGTACAGATGTTGAACGGGCACCAATCCCGGTACCTTTAACCAGCGCAGGGTAGGCCACGTGTTCACCCCCGTTATTCGGCCAAGTAGGTTGACTGCATGAGTCAGAACCAGGACTTGGTGGGGATGGTGAGGTTCGGGCGAAGTAGGGCCGCAGATCGATTCCACCGGCTTTTAATCTGCCCCCGCAACGTTCTTCAATCCCCTCTTAGCCGTTGGGCCGTTTCTTCTCGCGTGTCCCGGCAGCCTGTACCGACCCTTCCGAAATTATCGGGCGGTACCTTGGACACCGTTTAACCGTGGGTTGTCAGCAGCTGTCCCCGAAAACAACGTCCTTGGTCAGGGGAAACTGTTCTCGATACTGCCGGCCAGCTTGCAACAACACCAGGCACGCAGCGTCGCACGAGTTCTTTCGAGGTGTACCTGCCCCGATTTCCTTCGTCGCCTGCGTCCCACTCCTCGTAAGTGCGGTTTAGCCACCGCGTTTTCCGTTGCAGCCCGTAAGCGTCAGCAGGTATGAAGCCCCGTCTGTCCACGAGCACTCCTGCCGAAAATAGTTGATGACGCGCCCGCCAATGCGGTAAAAGCCGCCGCACTTAACAGGTCGGGCGGGACGGCAGTTAACTCCCGTTAAGTCGGGCAGTCTTGTGTCGTCTCTCCTCGCCACCGACTTTTTCGGACGCAAACTCCTTTTGCGCCTGGCGAGTTCCCCAACCAACTTTCCTTCAACAGAAGCTCCGAAATTTTCGCCACAGTGACGCACATCCACTGTCGCCAGCTGCCGAAACACCTCCCGCGAGCCATGCCCGCAAAGTGACGACGAGCCACCGTCGTAACTTGCCGCATCAGACGAGCTCCGAGATTGTCGCGCAGCTGTTGACCCAAATCTGACGGCGTCAACTGCCACACCCGTTGACGACTTCCGAAATCTTCGTGCAGGTGCCGACGCAGGTCCGCTGACGCCAGCTGCCTCACAAAATCCGAAATCGTCGGTAAATAACGCAGCGGAATAGTACTCACGTTCAGAGTCGCGACAGCTCCAGCTGTCCGTTGCCCGGGGGGAGGGAGGTCACGGTCGATCGCGACCGTTCGAGCTAAGGATCTGGCGGTGCCGAAGGAGTGCCCCGTAAAACTATGGCCGCGAAGAGCAACTAACTAGTTCTCTTGGCCGGCCTACGCAACTCCTGGACCCCAAGGCATCCTTACTCGTCCCCCCCCCCGAGGGGTAATACACTCTAAAAAGCGGGGTAGGCTAGGAAAGTAGCTCTGATACCAGGTGTTATGAATGAACTTGTCAGAGTGCGCAGATATCGAATAACGAGAATGTTGAACTACAGAATGCCTGAACAATGAAGTAGCGAGGCCTAAATAGGGGAAAACCTAGCTAGGCGGGGATGGTGTGGTAGGGTTGGCTCGCGAAGTGTCGCGATTGGTGCGGAGGCGGCTCGGTGAGGTTGGGATGCGAAATTGTAGGCCGAACCAGTTGGTCGCGTGGCCCTCGGGATGGCCTCGCTATCGAGCGCCTCAGTAAGGATTTGTAAATCCTTACAGGCTCGGTAACCCTATCCAAAATGAAACGAACTCGAAGCTCCCAATACCACTCTATACAGGTACTCAAGCTAAGTGAATACTTCACGAAAGTTTAATAGGAGTTAAATAAAGTAAGAAGGCATAAGGTATAAACACTAAGCAATATGTCTGCAACTTGTACATGATTAAAGCCTCACGCT